AATAACATAACATGCCTAGAAACTAATACAGAAAGTACTAAAATAAATATCAAAACTGTGCAAAGAAAATGAGGCACCACAAGTCATGTAACTTGTTACAATATTTAGGGTGATTAAATTTAACCTACAATTAAATCTCCCAAAGTCTACACAGAAAAAAGTCATAAAAAAACCAAGCAAAAAATTATGTAAGTATAGAAGTCCATTTACTTAAACTCCACCGCTTTAACGGTCACTGGACAGGCGCCACACCTGGGACAGTGAGTCCACTGGTCCATCCAGTCATTTATGCATTGCCGGCAAAAGAAGTGAGTACATGGCGTGGTTACCATGTCTGCCTTGGGTTCCTCACACAGACGGCATACTAATCCACTCAGCTTAGCCTTAGGCGGCCTGCCTGGGCCTGCTCGCTTCTTTGTTGTCGGTGCACTGCGAGGAGGCGAGCTGGCCCGCCTCCTCTCCAACTCCCTCACTGATGGCAAGGATATCCTGCTCGAAGACCTGACATCAGCATGTGGAGGTTGGTGGTGCTCCTCCCAAGGAAGCTGGCCTGCAAACATTAAGATTGTATTTTGCTCCAGAATGTTTGAACTAGCAGCAGATACGCATGTAGGAATGCCATGGAAATTGGTAGTTTTAATACTGGTCTTGCCTGTGTAATTGTGTGTAAACGACAACGCTTAATATTAATTTGCTGATTTCATTGGAAGTGATTTTGAATAAGTGGTGAAGAGGCAACTTCAATATTATTAAACACGAAAAAGTAATTGTTAAAAGCGATAGCAGGGTTCCTAATTTTGAACAGTATTACTTTTGTTTCTAGCTGAGATTAAAATGTCCACTCATAAGCTGGGATAGGGATTTAGCCCAAAAATCAGCAGTTAAGAGTTCTCAAAATAATACTATTAAACTGGAATTATGTTAAGCATTACCTCGCACCAAGAACAATACTTGTTCTTCTACCACCAAGTAGGAGAGGGTGGGTGGTAAAGAACAAGTAAAAAATAATAATGTCTATGCAAAGGATGCAAATTTGTCTCTTGCAAAGCCACTGAAAATAATCTGGTCGTGCTTTAACATGCATCTTTCTCTAGAAGCAAGTAGTCTCTTCACATTTAGGGTGTATAGTTACCTGAGTTGGTTGACGATGTTGGTCTGGAGGTTGACGGGTACGATTGCAATTATTGCCTCAACGACTGACGTAATTGGGGCACAGAGATAGATGCTGGAAGAGAGTAGACAGAAATATAAATAAAGCACAAGTGAAAACATAAACATACCGCAACACGGAGTGGATGCATTGTTAAACTATTAAAAAGTGACTTACAAGGTGTCATCTCTTCCCACTGTGTGGATGCATCCACTCATAGAGGGCGATCATATGAGACAAAGGGGTTGGTTTGAGTGGAAGCATCCTGTGTCCCAGCTCCAGTCCCAGTTCCATCTGTCTGAGTGGCAACACTAACACCTGAAAAAAGCAACGTTATCACCTATTACTTCATACACACGAAGAAAGATTTTAGCATATTATTGTGAAAAGTTAGTGTAACAGGAAATAAAACGATAACATTGGAAAGTAATGCCGCGGTGATGCAAATAATCTGACAGCAGCTTGCAAAGAATAGGTTCGTATTGCACAGAATTTTGCAGCATTGTTAAATTAAACTACTTCTTTGCAAGCTTGCAAACGGAAGTGTTCGTCAAGTAAACATAATGTACTTTATATTTGTTCGAATATAACATATTGGAAACACACCACTTTTCTTAGATTAGATTACCACTCACCGTCAAGTTCCCGAATTCTCGCCAGTCCGAGGGGTTGCTGATGCTGCTGCACCTGCTGCAGCAAACCCCTGACTAACGAGCCAATCATGTCATTGAGTTGGTTGGGTTGCCCTGACCCCTGATCGAGTGGCATTTCCTGAATTGAAGACATAAAATTGTACTGTGAGACACTAACTTCTGAGTGCGATTGGGCTAAATGCGACACTCATCTTAGCATAAAGTTGCAAGGCAAAAGGGAATACATCACACACACGCGCGCAATAGACAGTATTCGAGGCACAAAAAATATAAGGCAGATCTTTATCAACGCCAATGGCTTATAAAAACTGGAACTGGAACGTCAATCGGCAATCTTCATCAAAACTGGATAACGAGAACCGGCAATATTTATCAAAAACGGGAAACTTTTACATTCGGGTAGAGACAACCACAAGGGACTGTCTAAAAGGGCACATTGATGCTAGGTTGGGACATGTACTTACAACTAACAATAGATAAAACGATGATGAGAGAAGAAATAACACGATAGCATACGTGCTCTGGCGAAAAGACAACCCGATGGCTCACGATGGCTCATGCATGAATGAGGAACACCCGGCGAACACGACGAGAAGGAGAGGGAGAGACGGATGGCGGATGGCGTTGTCGTTTCGGTTCAGGTGAGTAAACTGTACCTCATGTCATCATCATTTATTTCTGAGACCTAAATAAATGTCAATACTTTCTCCTAACAGCAAATTTTTAAAAGTGATAATTAAATTGATAGCTCTAATTTTGTGAATTCTTTTTTCCTGAGTGTCAGCAGGTTTTTTGAGATTTTAGTTCCGTGTATTTGGTTGGTCTGAAATTACTTTTCACCCCTCCCCTATCCCCCTTGCTCCGCTCTCTTGTAGTGCGCAGGTAGCAGCGTGCGTTGGGTTTTGCGTGGTTTCGTCGAGAAAATTCCTTCCTGCTCTTCAGAAGTTTTAGAAAGTCCAGTGTCATGTCTAGCAATAATACGAAGAGGATAAGAGTCGATCTGGCTGATGTCCAGAAGTGCAACGTAAGTATTCATTTTGGCGGCTTTCTCTGGGGTCCTTATGGTTTGCTCTTCTTGAATGAGGGATTATTCGTCATGGCACCACTTCGTAGTCGTTTAAATTCGAACAATTCGTAACATTGCGATGTAATGGTGTCAATTTTCCATGATGCCACAGCTTTTTTTTCACAAAATTTTAGTGGCTGGTGTTATTTGTTCCTGCTAGTACTAGATTCAGGCCATGCCCACCTTCTACTTCAGTTAACCAACTCTTTCTTCATTTTATGACACAGGGAAAATGATTGTGGAATATCTGTCGTCGTTGGCGACGACCTCCTGGGCTTTGATGCTTTCATCAAAGGCCCAGCAGGTACCCCTTATGAAGGAGGCACGTTCAAAGTGCGCATAAACATACCTGCAGAATACCCCATGCAACCACCAGTAGTAAGATTGATTATGTTGGCTTTACATCTTTCATTATACTTAAATCAAATATTTTAACCATTAATTTTATCCACAGGCCACATTCAAAACTGAAATATGGCACCCAAACATTTCGTCTATGTCAGGCTACGTTTGTTTGGACACTCTGGGCAGCAAATGGTGAGTATTTGTATTTATCGAATGCAACTTTGCGTATTAGCATTTGGTATCATATTTCTTTACTGGCCTAATGCATTGTGTTACTTCCAGGGTGGGATGTATGAACTTCAGGGCAGTCCTGTTATCACTTCAGAATTTGCTGATGAATCCGGAGCCTGCCGACCCTCAGGATGCAGTTGTAGGCGGTCAGGCCCAGCGGGATTTGAGGGATACCGCTGAAATGTGGACGCACATCTTTGCTGGAGGTTGTTTTGTTTTCTTGTTTATAATTCATTGCTTAATTTTGCTTAACCTGGTTACTTTTATCTAATGCTCAGCTTTATTTTAGGACGCAAGTTCAAGGAGAGTCTTAAG